ACAAGTACCCAGGCATTACCCACGCCGTGCAGCGTTGTCGGTACCGAGACATTGTTGGTAGATACGACGTCATGGCTCCAAAGCTTGAGGCCACTGTGTTAAATTCCACTTGCTTGATTTTATTACTCTCCGTGTTCTGCATCAGGTAATCGGACCGGAAGAGACCGAGGCTGACCGACTGCAAATATTTAATTCTGTGAATTTCTGTCCAATCCACTCAAAGTATTATGAATATATGATGTTGATGTTATATTCTTCATTTTCTCCGCGTTCGCACCGCCACCTTTCAACTAATATTTACAAAAACATTCTAAGATAAGTAAAGTATTTAAAGACATAATTTCCAATTAATATCTACATATTCTTAAAATAAAGCATTGTAACTTAATTTTAAAATAACACAGTTCCATTGTTTTTTTAATCTTGCAAATGTTCAAATACTGTAATGCTGTTGAATAACTATTGATTAATAAAAAAAACTGTAAGTACATGAATTATAAAAACACACAAGAATTTCTGTACCAGATTTTTCTTTGACTGACATTTCAGTATTTGAGCTTGGACTACAATTACTAAAAAAAACTAAGTAAATAATAATAATGATAATAAATAACAGAAATTATCAAATTCAATTTCGAATGAGGATTTTGATTTTAAGCTTCCATTTTAAACGAAATATAGAACTGTTTATGCAGCTGAAATGATTAATTCTCATAAACAAACCTAATCATTGGTTGTTGGACGTCACAAGCAGTATTGTCTGTGGTTTAGGAAAACAAAAGTCAAGTTTCCTACTCATTATCATGTCACTGTTTTACCCATTATGACTAAAAAATAATAACAACATATTCATCTTTTACTTGTTATATGAAGCTGAGCTTGTTTGTTTGAACGCGGTGACCTCAGGAACTACTTGTACGATTTAAAAGATTATTTTTGTAGTGTATAGTGAATTTATCGAGGAAGGCTATATGCTATAAAGCGTCACGCTAAGATCAATAGGCGCCGAGCACAGCCGGCGAAACTGCGCGGAAGTAGCTAGTACGTTATGTAACTCATAAGGAATACCCTTAAAGATCTAGCTTCTGCCCGCGACTTTGTACGCGCAATCCAGATTTCTCCCGTTCCCGCAGGATTTTTAGGATTTTTTCTGTCTTAAGAACCTTCTCCTAATAATATCAAATACAAAAAAAAACTATAGTGAAATCGGTCCAGCCATTCACGCGTGATGCCGTAACCAAGGGAAAAAGGGATTCATTTTTATATATATACTAGCTTGTGCCCGCGACTTCGTACGCGCAATCCCGATTTCTCCCGTTCCCGCAGGATTTTCAGGGCTTTTTCTGTCATAAGAACCTTCTCCTCATAATAACAAACACAACAAAAAAATCATTTAAATCGGTCGAGTCGTTCCCAAGTTATGGCGTGACAATGGGAAACGGGGTTCATTTATATATATATAGATATAAGTGCAACATCCTGTAAGCTAAGTTTAAGGAAGGAAGCTATACACGGAAGCTATTCATTGAATCATTATTGTGACAACTATATTATTATTTTCCCGTAAAAAACGTCCTGTTTATGCTATAATTGAATCTATCTTCCTCATATAATATCACCTATGATTCAACGGGATTGTGAAGGGGTTTTACTACAAAACAATAAGCCGTGATTCAATCCAATGTTAATTGTTAATATATTCCATTCATATATTATATTTATTGTCCTTGTTTATGGTAAACCAATGTCGTATGAGTATGAGTGTTGATCATGTTTTTCCCATAGATTTTCTTTTTACTCAAGACACGTAAGTATAATACCCGGCACGAATCATTGCAAGATTTTTCATTCTGGGGTTCACATTCCATGCTTTGTGTATTTCCCCATTATGAAAAAGATCTTGAGGAGGTGGACCCAGGTGGGGTTTAAAATTTATAATTACAAGTTCGAAATCCCCAACCCGTGGTGACGCGTTGTGATTAATGCTCAAAACTTATCCACGTGAGAAGAGGCCTTTACTCTGCGGTGTGCGGTTTTATTCTGTTGTGTTTACTTTCTTATTTTCTTTTTTTTTTTTTTTTTTTTTTTTTTTTTTTTTTTTTAAGTTTTACAAATTCCGTTCCGTATTTTAACATTAGAACTTCTAAGTAGACAAAATTAAACAAAATGATGATAAGAACTATAATATCATGAGTAACTTCCCCTCATTCATTTTTGGAATTTTGCAATTTTGTTCTCTCTCGCGATAGAAATCCTCGTGGTCTTCCTTCATCGTATGGACGACTGGGGGATTTTCCGGACTATTATCAGCTAAAACCACCGCGATGTTCCTCCTCTGTCTGTTGCCGTGACCCGGGTCAACGTTGCGATTTCAACGTACTACAAAAAAAAACATCTTGCGCATGTTACGTGCCGGGTACTATACTCATGTAAATTGTAAAACGAATTCTAATTCAAAGATCTCCGAGAAACTAACAAGGTTTTAAGTCGTAATTTTTGAGTATGCCTATGTATCGAAAATTTGAAATAATCCATTTTGACTGAGGAAACATCCTAATATCGTCATCCCAAATCCCATTACTCGTTATGTTATTCGTCAATTTGTGTTTATTAAACATTTCATGTATGTGTTTTGTATTCAAAATAGGCATAGTAAGTAGCTAAAGAAGACAATAGTCGGTAGTTGATAATGGGAGGCACAATATTGACATATATTTACTGCTACATTCTACGTCAAATATACAAGGCAGAACGTGGCATTATATACAGCAAAATTTACAAATACACTTTCAATTTTAATCTATAATACTAACTACAGCCGGTTGTTTGTAAAAATCGTGCAATCGAAACAGATTATAAAGCATTGAAAAAACATTTAGCGGTTTTTGTTATTTCAATTTGAATAATTAACGCCCGAACACTGAAATGTACTTAAATATCGTACTATCTGTCATTTTACAAAGAATTTATATGTACAGAACTATTCTAGAAAAGGGTTTTAAAATTGACCGATTTGAGTATTCCAACATAATAATTAAAACCATAAATTAGATCGCCTTTTCTTGGTATTCGTTGATATGAACTTTTTGTTTTTAATTTTCATTAAAAAATATAAAGTTTTTTTTTCAAAATGCAACAGATTTTTGTCAAAACAGCCGGTCTTATTATTAACAATAAGCTGGTTTCATTGGCTAGCTAGCTATCTATAACTATAACTTAAGCATAACGAATAATGTATACCATATCAAATTTAAATAAATATTATTTCATTTCAGTTATACATTGGTAAAATTGGTCATTTTTTTAGCGGGCAACAAGTTCAGTTGTCCGTAATGAAACAATTAATTATATAACAATCATGCAACTTTAAACTAATAAATCTATAGAACTGTAGAGTCTAACAAACGAAAGCTATCCAAAAAATGGCGCGAATTTTAAAAATCAAGCGCTGTCAAGTGTTAACCCCGGCTGTACACTGCTAAAACGGAGTTGATCCTTTATTAAAAAATGTATCTATCTTGTTTTTACAAGGTTAAGTAACAATAAGTCGATTTTTTAAAATTAGCGCTTTGTTTTTTATCAGTTTTCGTTGGTCGACTAACAGCCACATTGAACTAAAAAATCTAATGTTGCCCTACATAAAAAAAATACTAGCAAAGTCTATGTTAAAAATAATGTTAGCACAATGTTAATTGACAAACATAAAATTAGATAATTCGTTTAGACTTAAGAATGTACACAACTATTCATTATTGTGTAATTACTTTTTGAAAATTTGGGTACAGTCCTATAGTCGACTAAGTTATAAAATTTTAATTTTGTTTTTTTTTTTATTTGTATAAAGGCAGTTAGTGTGTTAGTCACAATAATAAAATGAACTAGAAATTGTCATACTTAATGGTAGGTAGGTATCATCATTTTTATATAAATAAAGATTTTGACATGTAAATGGTAGTCAATATGAAAGAATAGAGTAAAAAAGTTTTTAATTAAAATCAGATGGTGAAGAGCTTTATATGGTCACATTTAATGGATTGCGAACTATTCCCATTGATCATTATACATCAGATCAACAGCCTGTAACTGTCCATTATTGGACTATAGACGTAATTAATTGGATTGCAATGATCTAAATATGAAAAGCTTAACAGGCAGATTGGCAACCACAGTTTAAAAAGATTATCATAGAGCGATATTAGCTGTTTTTTCTCTATTACATGTACAGTTCCTTAGTGATCTCTTGCGACAACTGCGGGAGAAGGAGAGGTAGTGACAAAATGTGTTCTGAGGCCTTAGTACGAGTTTGTTTTAGGTGTAAAGTAATCGATACGAGTACGCGTTCGGCGCTATGATTGGCCGGCTCCAATGAAAGAACCAATCACTGCGCCGAGCGAGGTCTCGTTTCGATTACTTTAAACTACTCTGACATCACCACACGGTACCTCAAATGATGAAAACCTGTTTTTATACCGATCACAAGTATTGAACAATTTCTAGTAGTCTATATATTAAACATAAATGACAGGCACAACTGAACGTATCGCCCGCCTGCTTTGTTATTTTCAAGCAGAGACCGTTCACTAGCCCCATTCACACATTATTATTAATATAACTCTATATAATAATAATTATTATTAATATATATATTTCTATTATACTAATGTCCTTTACAAAGGTTACTGTTTATTTGCAAAACAGTTGTGTTACCATAACGAATTGGATTTATTCAATAGGCGTGGTTTGTTATTGTTACTAAGAATATTTAAAAAATAATCGCGTCCCTATATCATGTGTGACAAGTTCGTGACCAATGTACGAACGAATAATTAGAAATATTAAATGCTGAAATTTGTACCCGGTTTTAAATTTAGATAACTAGCAACGATATTACTTACTTTTTAAAAGGACATGACATTATGAGATGAAAACAATTATATAATCGATTTTTAAAAAGAATGTGTGAATGTGGCTGTATAGGAACGAACTCCACGGTCTTCTACCTCTGTATTTCCCTGGAAACCGGTCCGAGGTGTCCGAATCCTGACGCGATGCTGTTGATTTCCACCTGCTTCCAGGAGCAGTATGGGGTGTGCTTAGCACACTGGTTCTCGGTGTGTGGACAGCGTGATTCCAGCATAATGTCGGAGCGCAGCATCCCTAGTGATATCGGCTACGCCACACAGCACATTTTACATGATATTTGAACGCCGACAGTTAGTATGAACATGAGTGTGATACAAACATTATAGCACATGCAAAAACGATTTTCTAACATAATAAAATAAAATTTTATTGAATTTATTCATGTCTATTCAATCGTTTGTGCCTGTGTCAAGATTATATGAACATAACAGGAGTGTGATTAGATTTCTTTATTTATTTTTACAGTATAATTTAATCTGAAAACTCATTCAAACTATTTTGCATAACGAGAGAAATAAAGTCCTTTATCGACGAAGCTGGGTTACTTAAAGAAACCGATTAACTGTATCAGGTTGTTACTTCTTCTAATTCCGACTAAGTATAATAACTTAGGCACCGAGTCTCAGACAGAATTTCACACACTTTTATAACTAGGCTACCATCAAACTAAGTTAATGTTGTAATATAAACCTTAATATGTGAGACTTATGGAACAAAGTTTGTTTATTTTTAAAAACACATGTGTGAATATAAAAATGAAATCAATTGACAGCTATGTTAACCACACTCATGTTTTGTTCATAAATATAAATAATGATGAGTTACCTGTGTTATGCCCTCATTGCGTACTTTCACCCATATGTCGTATAAGCTCTTCGTAAACTCATCAACTTGCAGTGCATTTTGCAATGTATGCTCCAAGAATTCATCGTTATGCGCCACCTACAATTAAACAAAATATTTGAGGTCGCTTTTGACACTTAAAATAAATTTATTTAATACTTATTTCGATTATGAATTTTTTATCAAATGAATTCAAACAACCAACTCCCTCTTCTTTTGAAGTCAGTTAATTAATATACCTTCTCCTAAATCCTTACTTATATTATAAATCGGAAAGTGAGTTTGTTTGTTTGTTCCGCTTTCACACCGTAACTACTAAATCAATTGCTTTGAATTTTTGCAGACGTAAAGTTAGAAGTCTGAATTAAATAACAGGGTACTTTTTATCTCGGAAAAATTTGATATTCCCGAAGGAAAACCAAAGTATTGGTATAGATGGCGCTGTGTGTATTGGTATATTATTATATCACAGGCTATTTTTCATCCTTTTGTGACGCGAGCGAAGCCGCGGGTAAAAGCTAGTGTAACAAATATTTTCCTGAAAACTTCATCAAAATCGGTTCAGCCAAACGCGAGATAATTGCGCACAAATATACATACTGGTCAAAGCAAGAACCTTGTTTTTGAAGTCTGTTAAAAATTATGAACATGAAGTCAATGAATTAAAGTGTGATTATAGATATACACGGTTTATAGTAAAATATTAATAGTTAGCATTATTTGTTTTTTTTTCTTAAGGGGAGAAAATCATTGAATGACTTCTCTCGCCTGGGCGAGGCGGGAGGGAGTGTCAGACTCTTACCACATAACATCACGCCTTTTATCCCCGAAGGGGTAGGCAGAGGTGCACATTATACCACTGTACAATGTAACACCCACTTTTCACTATTTATATTATGAGTCCCATGCAATAGGGGGTGAGCCTATTGCCATATATCGGGCACATTTCCAGACTCCGTGCTACTACTGAGAATATTTAAAAATCCAGTAATACTTTGCCTGACCCGGGAATCGAACCCGAGACCCCTTGCCCGGCAGTCGCACTTACGACCACTCGGCCAACGAGACTCTTCTGACTAAAAATCACCACATTCCTTCTCCTGCACTTCGAGCCGGAGCCCCGGTAACCCGTCAGGTTCTCCGTGACTCTGTATTAGCATCTGCCCTGTTGAGCCTTATCCATTGTGGTCTGATGGCTCTTAGAGGCGCGCGGAGAACGCGACGCGCCTCTATTACGCTAATAGTTAGCTTAATAAATAAATTAACATAGGTACCTTATGCATTAGTTCATTTAGTATTGGCTGTAATTCAACAGCTTTCTCAAATTCCGTTTTTGGAAATGGTGATGGCAGTAACACAAATGGTGCAACCTGTAAAAAAAATAAAAGGTCAAATTTTTTTTTTTTTGTTAAAGGGAGGAAAGCACCTTTTTTTTATTAAATTTTAAATTGCTATTTATTCTCTAGTGAAGCCAATAAATCCTTCTTTATGACATATGAAATATTGTTTTTTAATTCCAACAGACATGTTAATCAATTTTACTGTACTATTCTATGGTATTTGTGTTCTTCTTGTAAGTTGAATTATGTGTACTTCTTCAGCATGCAGTAATTAATGGTAAAATGTAGAGAACTTTTACTATAAATATCAAACCCATTATATTTTTTAACCTGCTTTATAAATACCTCTGCTACAATATTATTAAAAAAGAATTGGTTTAATTAGAAATTTTCTTCTCTTTACTAACCTATTAATGCTCAAGCAACTAAAAAGCTCACAATAGGCATAATGTGAATATAATTGTCAATCATTTAATTAAACTAATCCAATTTATTTATTGACAAAAATATTCTATTTCATATTTTTTGTTTCAGGTAGTTATCTAAATAAGACACATTATTATTTTATTTCATCTGCTTACAATGAAGATTATGACTATTTAGATTAGTTAAGCTCTAATATCCCTCCGCATAAGAGTCTCAGTAGGTATACCATTGTGATTTAAACTGTCAAACACCAAGCAGTCACCGGTGACCGCAACCTATTGTTCTATAATTGTGTCTACAAAACCGGTACTCGACGAGTTAAATAATATAAATTATGGACTATAAAAATTTACAAAGTGCCTAAATGAATTAAGTATATATAGAACATTATTTACAGAAACAATACTCCATATGAATTATATTTTATTAATTAACAGAAAACTTTTTCGTACTACAATAAGATAATGTTTTTTTTTTAATGATGATGTTAATGTAATATAAAAAATAACCTGAATAACATCTTTGTTGAAATGCTTCTTATCTCTCATGGCTACTCCATGCATCAAACCCCAGTCTCTAGCCTTTTCTATCACGTTCACCAAGGCTTTATGCTCAATGGGCAGCGGAATACACGATGCAAAGCGAGCTTGCGACATTTTGCGACACAGAAATATCACCAAATAAATATTTAAGATTAAACAAACTTCACGATTTTAAATGCACTACTGTTTAGCTGTGCGCGTGCTTCTGTGCTCAGAGTTGAACGACGTATAAGTAATTTTGAATAATTTGTTGTATTTTATAGTCTGCCTAATAGCTAATTCATCGTTGCATTCGGTTTTTTGTGACAATGACGTTTGTTATTGTCAATTATGACAACTCTAAGATGACAGGTTGTCACTTGTCAAAACAGACAACAGCCGTAAATGACTCATAATCGTAAATACTTTTTTTTTTATGGAATAGGAGGACGTCAAGCATACTTCCCCTTACTTATTATACTCTTTGGAGCATACGGATCACCGGATGATAAGCGATCAGCGCTGCCCATCGACACCCGCAACACTAGAGGAGTCACAGTTGTACAGCATTTGCTAATCACTATGGTTAGCAATCTTAGAGAATCAAAAGTTGGTTTGATGTTCTCGTTAGAAACACGCTTGCATGTCATGTCACGTCGAGCCTTCGGACGGCGATCATGGTTGGCTGGCCACTCGACTAGAACCAGACCCGAGCGTACGGCGCGTCGCATTACGCACGCGCCTCTAAGAGCCATCCGGCCACCACGGCAGGGGCCCAATAGGGCTGATGCCGGTACGGAGCAGTAGAGGACTTAACGAGTTGTCAGAGCTCCGGCTTGAAGGGCAGAAGTAGGAACAGGGTGGTTTTTAGTCAGTAAGAGTCTGACACTCCCTCCCGCCTCACCCAGGCGGGAGCAGTCATTCGATGATTTTCCCCCCTTAAAAAAAGTCTCAACAAATTCCAAAGTCTGACATCTACGTTATTATTACATCTATGATCTGGACACAAGTTCACCTGTGAACTTGTAAAAAACTTAATTTGTGGATGGTGGGATCACATAATATACACCTGAGTGCAGTAACCGGTTACCTAACCACCACGCCAAACGTGTAGTTTTAACCACAGACTTATAATAGGTCCATGGCATAGATTTATAAATATAACATAGATGTCTGACTATTGTCTACGGGTAGAATTTAAGATCCATCTCGAAGGTAAATTCATAAACATACTGTTGTTTCTTTTTTACTTATGTCTCTTTGCTTATGCAGAAAGAGACAACACATTATTGTCATTCTGTCAATAATTTTTTGTTGTCATCAAAAATTACTTGTGCCGAATTGGCCATCTTAGTCTCTGTTATCAGTGCATGTCAGTGGCATATCAGATGTCAAAGCATTGGTCAACAATATTTTGTTACGAAAATTTGTAGAATTCCTGTTGTTTTTGTGCGTGGTAAACAAAGAAATTATTGGTTAGTGAGAAGAACTATTCCTGGTTGCAGTGTTATTGGATGTAGCACTAAAAATATTACTAAACCGGCAGGTGTAACATTACATCGTTAAGTACTGTTATTTTTCATTAAAATATATCTGTTTTTCAAACTATTCAAGTGTGGTTGCTGCAAATTGACTAAATACAATACTTTTCTAACTAATGCAGTGCTTATTTTCATTGCAATACGTCTAAAACATTTTTCATTAAAAATAGTGATGTACATGATTGTTCCCGTATTGATAATTTTATCGTACATAATAAATGCGTCAAAAGTAGAACAAAGAACTATACTAAATCCTGAATGATAAAGTGCATTAATTTGATATAATGACAAAATGCAAAAAATATTAAACTGTCAAACACCAAGCGGTCACCGATGACCGCAACCTATTGTTCTATAATTGTGTCTACAAAACCGGTACTCGACGAGTTAAGTACTCGTCAAAACATTTATATTAAGTTCAATCCTCAAAAATTACTTAACCTTAAGTATGTAAATGTTGACCAGTTGATGGAAAATCCTTTACATAAATTTTGATACATATGTATCGTGAAAGTTATGATGTGAATGTATGGAAACGATCGATTGGAGTGATAGTGCACGCAGCAACTACTAAATATATTTCGCTTATATTTTGGTAATGTTTAGTAGCTAGATAAAAATTAAATCCTGATTAATCATAAAATAATGATGTTTGATAAGTCAATTAAAACCAATACTAAAATATCGATATTTCTACAGTTTTAAAAGTCACATCCCTAGTTCTATCCGCCATTACAGATGACCAAGAGAAGTTTATGTAGGCACGATTTTTTCGTAGTTGTTTCTTATCCATACTCTTATCATATCCGTGTCCATGGTTCAACTACTTCTTGTCAATGTAATTTTAAAGTCTATGGTGTGACTATAGACCTTATATGTTCATTCCATAGAGTTTAATTCATTCACTGAGTGATGATATTCAGTGTCAGGGTGTCAGGGTTCTCATCTCATGGAGTTCTCTGACTAGTGTATAGATGCGTATCTATGCTTTTAATACATTTAATGACACTATCCGCCCAGAAGATGGAGCTGATCACAATTGTTTAGTACCCCGCGAATGCACTAGATGGCGTACCGTGTGGAATTTAGTTCCACCTTAATTTTACTGTTTCTTTATAAACAAAACAAATTGACCGTGCTCAAAAATTTTATGCATGAGCACAATTAGGTCAATTTGTTTTGTATATCATTGTTATTGGGTTACTTAAAAAAAACAACTAATATTAAATACATCATTTTTTATTCTTTTTACGCTTTTCAAAATAATTGTAGGCTTTTTCTTTTATATGGTCATCCTTATCAAAATAAGTAATTTTACCATTTAAAATTCTATTCACGTTTGTACACCAACTATGGATAATCAATTTAATCGAGAGATCATTAATGAATTCAATCAACTGAGATTTGTGTAAATCACAAGTAATCATGCTATAATCACATGCACAATTTAACAAGAATTTTATTTTGTCTTTTAAACGAACTGATTCGGGTGATATACGTAAGCATGCAACGATCAAATAATATATTTCATTCATTAGTTCATTGAAGTTTTCATTAGGATAAAATAAAGATTTCTTTGTATAATCAATTTCGTAATTAAACGATTGCTTATCAATATCAGAGCTACAAAAATCACGCATGCATGTGCCACAATTTCTAAAAACTTTTGATTTACATTTTTTGATAACAAATCCAGTTACATATTTTTTTGATTCAGCATGCAGTACATTATTAACACTATTTTTAATGTTAGCCATCACCGTTATCAACGAATCAACTTCGCATGCAAAATCATCATTTGAAGAAATATGTGCAGGTGTATTTATTAAATGAATTAGAGATTGAAATAAACAATTATTATCTTTTTCACAATTCGCATTTGGTGAAT